CTCAGCCTCCCAGAGTGCTACGATTACAGGCGTGAGCCACCGCGCCCGGCCGACACAGATTTTTTAAAACTCCTCATCATAATGATTTAAGAAACAAAACAAAACACACTGACCATACAGAACCATGACTTACTTCTCACATTTTTATTATTTTTTTGGTGATACTTTTGACATATTCTGTCCTGTTTCTAGCATTTGGAAGGCATTTGTTTGTTGTGAAGCTCCAGGGTTAGGGAGGGGTGCAGGGGCGCTGAGTTCTACATGTACCCTGCTCGCAAGATACACTAACGTGTGTTTCTTACTTCTCCTTGTTACCTTTCCCTTAAAATGGACCAAGCATATTCCTAGATCTCTTCCCCCGGTAATGATGGGGCTGGATTTACTCAGTTGGAAATATACACCCCGACCTCCGATCTGTTACCCACTCTGCTTCACAAAGGCCCAGACTCTAGCTCAAATGATGGAAGCTCCATTCCTACTATGGCCAAAATGCCAGAAGTGACTTTGCTCAGAGGATGATCTGAAGCAGCTGTCTATGTTTGTTTTGTATGTGATAAGGCAGAGCTGTGTTTACAGGAAAGAAAACGGAAACTAGAGAATCTTTCCTCATCTACTCATCTCACTAAATCCTAGTGCCAGTGAAGGTTGTATCTCTAAGCTGTTCCCCAGTCTACAAAAGGCCAAATCTGCCCCAGGGACTCTCAGCTGTGGCTGTCAGCACCCCAATGTGAGTCTGCAGGCCCATTACACTCAAAAGACCGTCTAGCTGGTTATTGGTGGCACCCCAGGGTGTCTTGGGAGCGAACACAGTTGTTGGACACGTAAATGAAAAGTTCAAAACACCAATTACCCAGTAACACATCCATTTACTTCTTCAATCTACTTATGCTTTTAGAATAAACCATCTGTTGGTGGTAATTTGGTGAAAAATTTTATTATCTATTTTGTTTATTAATAGTTTGATCTTTCTGAAAATAACCTGAGTCAACCTTAAATGATTATTATTCCCTGATTTTCAAATCTGGGAAATAGTCTAGATTCGCTTTTCAGTCATCATCCATGGTTTCACAAAAATATCTTCTTTTAGCCTTTTCTGTCTCTTGGAAGTAACATGATTGTTGTTGTTGTTAGTTTGCCAATCATATCTGTTTGCAAATGGCTGATTTTCTATCATTTTATTTTAATTCTTCTTTTGTTATTTTTTTTTCTCCATAATAAATAGAGTTTTAGAGTTGGATAGCTTTGGACTCAAATCCTGGCTCTTTTGCTTTATTATCTACATAAACTCATATGGAGGTTTTATATTTGTAATGTCAAGTCATAAATACTTACTTTAAACAGTCGTGAAAGGATTAAGTCAGGCATAAAAATGACTTACACAAGGTAAACACTCCAAAGATGATATTTAATATAATAGTTTTCTCTCCTAATTTAGTTTTATTATGTCTTCCTTGAATTTAGCACCAGAAATCTAACGTAATATTCAAGCAAGGATATGTTGTGTTTTGGGACATAATCAATATACATAAATAATAAATGTTATTTGATGCTTAAAAGCCAACATATAAATTATGCTTTTATTCATTTTTAGCTAAATAAACACAGGAAGTCCTCAATCTTTAAAATCCAAGTCATTTTCATTCAACATGAAAATTATTTTTAGAAGAATGAGAAGAAAATAATTGAAAAATGCATCAAACATTATTATATGCATAAGTGGATTTAGTAATCCATACAGTTCTACAGACATTTATGAATTTTGACCAAAAACAATGAGATCAGACTGACCAGCAATCAAATAGTTCAGTACTTTTCATCATCGAATAAGTATGGCCCACAATGCAACCGTACTGCTGTCCTGGAGATCCACAATGCAGATTGCAATGTGCAAAAGGCTCTGGTATGTCTGTCAGTAAGCAAACACATCTTAAATGTTAATGAATCCTAAATCTTACAAATTTATTTGACTATGGGACCTTTTTTGTTCATGGGAAATCTAGGGATAGTAGTATGGACTGAACGCTATGTCTTCATTTCTCAAATTCATATGTTGAACCCTAAATGCCCAATGTGATGGGACCAAGGTGGGGTGCCCTTGGGAGGTAATTAAAGTCTTGAGCACAGAGTCCTCGTAAATGAGATGATGCTCTTAAAAGAAGAAACGTGAGACAGATAATCTCTCTCTTTCTCTCCCTCTCTCTCTTTTTAGCATGAGAACACGAAAGGAGAAGGCCATCTGCAAACTGACGGCCATCTGCAGGCCCTCAGCAGACACTGGATCTACCAGCCCTTCATCTTAGACTTCCCAGCTTCCAGAACTCTGATACATAAATTTCTGTTGTTTAAGCCACCCAGTCTGTGGCATTTTGTCATGGCGGTTCAAAGCGACTAAGACAAACATGTAACAGAGCTAATCTCCTGAGGAACCCAGTTTGGGAAACATGAATCTCTTGGGCAGTACCAAAATCCGATAGCATAAAAACCAAAACCAAACCATAAGCGACAACAGCAACACCAATAACAAGCCCTAGACCTGTAAATGTAGTTTAATACACATAAATGACATAGTTAATGAACAACTTCATTAATAAAGATCTTGTTTACACCTTTTAAGATTATCAATAATCATCTGGTTTAAGTAATATATTCCACTTCATTAAACAGCCCCACTGTCATGAGAGCCTGAGTCCCTGCAAATTCTTTTGCATTTTTATTGCTTTGGCTCACACACAGGGACACGCACCCAGTCAGTCAGGACTGTCGGCTGATCCTTAGGAAGCATACCTTTTTTTAGGTTTATTCATGATTACTTTTGCACCATGGGTTATACATAAATAGACTGTAGCATGTTCTAATGGTCAAAGAGCTAAGGCTTGAAGCCAGAGAGTGGTGAATTTAAGTCCTGACCCTCCAAGTGAAGACACCTCACCTATCTGTGCCTCAGTTGCCTCATATGTAAAATGGGGATACTTCATACTTCCTGAAGTTGTTTGAGGATTAAACGAAGCCATATAAAAATGCTTAGCATACTACCAGACCTACAATAAGTGCTTAAAAATGTTCGCTGTTATTTTATGAACTTCAGATCATGAGTTTATTCATTCTTTCTTCTTTTGTGAATAATAACCTTCTTTATCCTCAGAATATATATAGCCCCTGAAATGCCAGGGTAGCCAGCGAGTTTCTACATCCAGACTGATATTTACCTACATGCTATTTAAAAATCATTTGGCTTTCAAGTCAAAATCCTAAGGGAGAGTTATTATTATATGAGGGTTTTTGAAGGTCTCCTTTCATACCTCCTCACAGAGCGTGTTCTGAGGACAGAGGCAGAAACTACAGGGAATCAGGGCAGCTATTCTGCGCTCACAGGTACTTTGGGAGAGTTCTCCATGATTGTCATCTCAGCGGCAGGGCGGGCAGGGAAAGGAAGGAGGCGCCATTTCGTTTCCGTATCCCTCAGGAGCCTGTAATGTCCCCATGGAAACCCAGTGCTGTTCTGAGGGCTGCCAGGTCACATGAATGCTCCCAGGGAGGTGCCTATAGGAGTGAGTGGGGCTGAGGTTTCTGGCGGTCCAGTAGGGACATTGGGCTGAGAACTTTCTTAGCAAAGTCAAGAATGAGAATCAAGTCTCGTGGTCAATACTGCAAAGTGGTAAGTCCCAATACTCTTTCCCGGCCTCCTTTTCTGGGGCCTGTGTTATTTTAGGGTCTGGTGAAGCTTACAGGGAAAACAAAGGAACAGGAGCAACGGGAAGGGGAATGGGAAGGGGAATGGAGGGGGAGGGGAGGAGGAAGAGAGAAAGAAAGAGGAGGGAAAAGAAGAGGAGGAGGAAGGGGGAGGGGCAGGGAAGAGGGAGGGAGGGAGGAAGGAAAGGAAAGGAAAAGCCCCCACTTTTCCAGTTTCAGTTTTGGCTACTGGGTGGCCCACTGGTGGGCAGATGGCCTCCATTCTCCAGCCCGCACATGTCCCTGCACGGTGGCTGCCACCTCCCGCCAGGAACCGGGTCTATTTTTCCATCTCTTGAAGCTGAACGGGTCTTGTGACTTTCTTTGGGCCATAAAAGGAGGCAAAGTGATCCTGTACGCTTCTGAGGCTGAGATTCAAGAGGCCTGGCATGCCCAGCCCTCCCCTGGAAAGGCCATGGGCTGCCGGCGGGAACGAGCCTGCGTGAGACCTCAGGGCCAGGAGAAACAGAGGTGCCATCTGCAGGGGCTGATCCTTCCTGCTGACCCTGGACAACCAAGTCGGGCTGTGCAGGTGAACCAGCCTCCACATTTGGATGGCGATTGAATAAAGGGTTGCATGCCCCAGCTTGGGGTGTCTTGTTGAGCAGCAGTAGAGAAATGATACAGAGACACGTGGGTGTCTGGGGGTACTGCCTCCCCCTGCTCTGGCTCCCCTGCCTTGAATGTCTGTGCTGTGTGTGGGCATTCAAGGCTGAAACGATGTCCCAGCTGGAGTTTCCCACCCACCAACAACTTCAAAAGAAGGCACAGGCTTCTTGTTTTGTGAGGCAGATACTAGTTTACGCCAGGTGTTTCTCTTACTTGCAGCTCAATGCAACCCTGACTGAAAGAAGGTGTCGCTGAGAGTCTGACTGGAGTTTGGCGACCAGGGATGGCAGGTGCAGCATGGCACACACGGGAGGCCACAGTGGCCTGGGGGTTGCAGAATCCAACTGCATCCACTCATTCATTCTGTTAGTCATTACTGAGCGCCGATCTGCGAGTGGAGGGGACATCACACCAAGTCCGACCCTGCCCCCAGGAACCCCCTTTCTGACATCTCTAGCCGGATCCCTCATTACACTGCAGCCCCTTCCCTTGTGTTAGAAAGTCCCTTCTACGTAAGCCATAATGTGCCCACCCACTGCGCTCACTTGACGGCCACAGTCCCACTTTCTGGTGCCTCCCCGACTGCTGCTCGGAAATGTGCCACGAGGCGGGGCGGGGCGGGGCGGAGGGAATGCACAGGCCGGGGGTGGCGGGGATGGTCGAGTGTACGGAGCAGAGCTACAAAGCCAGTTCACAGAAGTCTAAGTGTTCTTCGAAATCCTGCTTCGTCTTAAGTATTCAGAAACGTGGGGGAGATTAAACAGAATCTTGGTTTGTTTTAATATAGAAGTCTTATTTATATTACTTAGCGAGGAATAAATTTGGTCCTTGAGGGACATATGCCACATTTATTTTGTGGCTTCCATACCTCTGCTTCCGAGGAAATGAGCCCATGCCATTCTTTGCAATAATCATAGTTATTTGTTATTTTTTAACACCTACAATATGCCAACCACTGTGCTAGGCTCTTCACTCTCAAAGGCCATATAATTCTCACCACGGCCCCAGGTGGTATTATTTTCTCCATATCAAAGATGAAAAAATTAAAGTTCAGAGATTTAAAATGATTTTTTTTTCCCCAGGCCTCCAAGACAGTAAAGTGGAAATGATATTTAAACCCAGTTCTCAAGATCTTCAAAGCTCATCTTTTATACTACAACTTGCCCTTAATAAGCAACAGCCTTACATTTTCAGAGACAACCTTTCTCTTATCTTCTCCAAATATCCTTGGGGGAAAAGGAAACTAAAAGAGAATTACATTCCATTTTCAAAAAGGAACCACAAATTGGTAGGCATTCATTAATTAGAGAACATAGACGGAAGAGGCAGAGGTTTTTCTTCCTTTCTTTGGTTTTTTTTTTAAGTCACTCTATCTCAGAAATCCTGGAGCCCATCTGAACACACCTATTGGAATCCTAGATACATATGTGTGGTGAATAAAACTCCAGGCACCTAGAAGGAAATGTGAATCACCTGGCAAGGTCAAAGAGGCAAGGTGAGGAAACAGGTGTTGTTCTCTACAATGGAGACCTTCTCCATGCCAGGTATTGGGGAGGCCATGATATCATCAGTGAACTAGAAGTGATTTTGGAAAACAAATAAAAAATCAATATGAGGAGCTTCGAAGGCAATCCAAGAAATTTCTAGAATACAGGAAAAGCAGAAAGTTAGTGAGAGAGATTCAGCCTGTTTCACTGCCTCAGTCTATAGCAAGAAATATGCTAAACCAGTGGTTCTTGGATCTTGTTCATGCCCCAGAGCCACCTTGTCAAAACACAGATCTCGGGCCTTACCCCCAGGTTTCCTGACTCAGTAGGTGTAGGCCTGGTGCCCGAAAATTTGCATTTCTACTGTGTTCATAGTGACACTGACGCTGCAGGTGCAGGGGCCACACTTTGACCACCACTAACTGCTGAACTATTCTTGGGGCCAGTGGGAGGGAGATGTGGACACATGGGGCGTCCTGAACCTGGGGAATGGAGTGGGGCAGACTGGTCGGCATCCACTGGGCCACATTTCCACGCTATCAGTCAGCCAGGTGACCAGAGGACGGTTTATTGGTGTGACCCACCTACATAACAAGGGCTAAGGGAAGAAGTTACACTTTGGAGGTAGACTTTACCCTAACCCTCACTCTCACTGGAGCTGGATGCAAATACTAGCTCTGAGGTTTAATAGCCGTGCACATTAGGGCAAGGTACTTCCTCTCTTCAAGTTTCCTTTTGCTTATCTGCCCCCAGGAGATCATAGTACCTGACTTGTAGAACTGTTATGAAAACTAAAGAAGATATAGGCGAAGAATCTGCTGCCAAAAAGTAGATGTTCAAGAATTGATACTGTTTTAGCAAACTGGATAAACTCACCCAACTTCCCCTGAGGCTACTAACACTGGAAAAATGAGGTCAGAGCCAACTTGAGTTATTCCTCCTGGCTTGAGCCTGACCTTATGTCAGGGCTGCAGCTTCAGGGAGTCAAGGCTGGTTTGAAGAGCAATTTACAAACCAGGGGTAGTTATTAGACCTGGAAGAATGAGAGCTCTGTGGCCCTCAACTCACAACTTGGGCAACTGCCAAGTGAGAAGATGGGAAGACCTGAACTCTTCCACCAACACAAAGAATTCTCTAAGCCTTTTGGCCTTTTACCACTTTTCTTCCAGCTCTGTATAAACCTCTCATCTTGGCACCCCTGGATTCAGGGAAAGGGAAATGGCTAAAGACATCTGTATCAGAAACAACATGTTAGCTCATACCAATAGTCTACACCTAGGTAAATTTTGGTGGTGGCACCCAATCCAGGTAGGTGGTGGGTCTGGAACTCTGATCCTTTGCGATCTTACCTGTCTGTGGTTGGGATGATAGCCCAAGAATGATATTGTCATTTTCTAATATACACAACACTGGAAAATAGTGTCATGAACCTGGAACTGTGCACCCTCTCGAATTTGATGACCTTCTATTATTTTATCCTTGATCTCGGAGGGGAATCCGTGTCCAATTATTATTTTTTTTTTAAAGAAGGTAATTATACCTAGTATTCTCTGTAGAACAACACCGCAAAGGCAAGTTAGTTACTATCTGACCTAATTAGGTATGTAACTTTTAAAATTTGTACTAGCTTCTTCAAAAAGAAAAGCTGAAGTTATTTTAGACAGTGCAGTTATAATGACACAATGATACATGGGTCTAATGAGTAATTTTATCCAATTAATTATTTCAGAGAGGATAAATTTTTATGCTTGAAAAAAAACCATGCCAGCTTTTTTAATGTTTTGATCTTTGTAACTAATTTTAAAGATCACACTGTGCCAGCTCCATTTGCTCTGTGAGTCTCACAACGGTCCCAGTCAAAAGCAATAACATTGGAATTTGACCGAAGTTCCAGTCTTTATAGTCTCTCAGTGTGTCCTGTCGCCCTGGGTGATTAAAGTCAGTTGGTGGAATTAGCTTTCAGAATTTTCACGGTTTTAATATCATCACTTCAATGAGGCAGCTGTGAGCAAGCGGGCCAGCTGAGCTCTTGAAATAAGGAACACCTGAATTAATCACCAGTTTCCAACCACATCCCACCTGCCCTGATCAACGGGCAAATGATGGTTTGTACACTGTGGAGGTATTTTTCTGGGGTCAGTAATGAAGGGATGGCTTCCATTTCCCAGCAGTTTGTGTCCGGCTCCTCACAATTTGGCTGATGCTTTGTGCCTACTACAGAACTCCGTTTCTAGGTAATATCCATTAAGATGTCTCTTGAAGACAAGATATCCAAATGGCGGATCCTCTGCACCTATCCACTTGAGTGAGGTCATATATTAAGAAGCATGTTTTGATTAAATATCTTAATTCTTTATGACAGTGGTTCTTAAACGTCAGCAAGCATCAGAATCACCTGGGGGCGTATTCAAACACACATTGCTGACCCCGGAGTTTCTGATTCAGTAAGTCTGGGGTAGAGCCCAATAATCTGCATTTCTGATAAGTTTTCAGCTGATGTCACTGCTGCGGTATGGGGGCCACACTTTGAGAACCACTGCTTTAGAGATGCTGACACTACTCTTATTTTTGAAATTAATTTCCAGTGGTTTCCCATGTGGGATAAGGATGAGCCAGAATATAGAAACTATTGTGAGGTCCTTATCTTGCTAATTTTCTTTTTCAGAGAAGTCTGCTATAATGAACTTTGTTAAAAACACAAGCTCTCAGCTTCTCTCTCTGGCCTCAGAGATGGGAAGAGGCAGTGCGTCTACCTGGCCCAGGCATCAGACCACATCTGTCTGTAGATGTCAGGGAGACCACCTCTTAGAAGAAATGGTCATGCAAAAATGTTGATTCCAACTTTTGGTTTTCGAACATGAGGTCACCAATGAAGGTACTTTATACAATAGGTGAAAACATCAGTGATGAGGGCAGATTGGTTATATAGGCAGGTCCTCCAGTGTGAGACAGGGAGCCCCTCTCTCTAATTTTCTACATGAACCAACAGGACTGGACCTCACTCCAGAGAGCACAGGAGGAGGCCTTAGGTTCCTGGTAGAACCAAAGGACAGCCATCAAGAAATGACAAAGAGTGGTATCATTAACAGGAATCTTTTAGACTCAAAAACCATCAACCAAACTCCTTATCCCAATGCCCCAGTCTTATCTCCAAAAGCAAATAAAGCTCTAGGAGAACAATAGCATTGTTCTCATTCTGAATAACTAACTGTGTTGCTTTTACAGGTAAGTTGTCCATTGAAAGTCCCTGAGTCTCTATTTCCTGAGCGATGGATGTGTCTGTATGTATGTGTATATCTAAGAAAGAAAGGGAAAAAAACCCAAAACTGGATATACTTAAGCTTTGAGAACTACTACTCTGAGAAGATGGAGAACCGGATGGTCCATTCTGCTTCCAGGGGTCAAGTTAGCTCCTATTTACCAACATCTGAACTAAAGGAATGTCAGCAGGGTCAGATCGAGAAATTAGGTCAACATTGTATCTTGGAGAAAGCTAGTGCAGGACAGCAGTGGGATGAAGAACACAGACCTGGAGCTGCTATTCCACCTGGTCCCAATAACGACTCAACACTTACTCACTGTGTAATCTTGGCCAAGTTATCTAACCTCTCTGTGTCTTAGTTTCCTCACCTATAAAATCCGGATACTAATAGCACTTATCTCATCGGGCCGTTATGTTGTGTGAGTTAATATATGTAAAGTACTGAGAAGAGTGCCTGGCATGTAGAAAATGCTATATAAGTGCTTGATATTATTATTTATGTCCAAATACTGTGCCATCCTTCTCCTTTTGTTCTATTTAAATTCCTCATGCTAATGCTATTTAGATTGGCTAGCATCCAAAATTTAGACTTCTGCCATAATTATCTACATATGGCAGCAGGATCGTTCCAGAACCACCCTAATGACTTTGATTAGAACCAATCACCTGTGCCTATTTACACAGCAGAATGATTGGCAGGGTTTTGGAAGGACTGGGTATTCCAATTATACTCGCGTCGGGTATGGACTGGTTTGAGCAAATGCGCCAGTCAGAATCATGCTGAAACAGATCAGTTTCTGTACATTTTATACAACCAAACAAAGAAACTAGAAAAAAATTTTTTAAAAAAGGCAGAAAGAGGAGAGGAACCATTGATTCATTCAATAAAACGTTGTGTGAGTTGCTGCTCTCTCCTGAGTATTGTGCTCAGAACGAAACATTGTGATGCAGGTTGAGAGGTGGGCAAGACATTCCCGCCCTGAAGGAGCTCAGTCTAGTGGGGAAAACAGATTAGAAAATCAATAAATCCTGCACAATTGCACTAAGGATTATAGTAGACATTCCCACGAAGCACAGAGGAAGTTGCCCAGGATTGAGGTGCCTCTCTTAGCCTGGAAAGATGGTGCTCAAAGGCAAGAAAGAAAGAGCTAAGGGACACCAAGCAGGCCATTACTAAAAGGCAGGTGAGGGCATTCTGAGCAAGGTACACAAGCCCGGGGACACAGACGATGCTGAAGAAGGTAGGAGAGGTAGGGAAGCAAGAAATCAATTCCTTAGCATTCTTAAGGAAGAACTAGGGAGCATGATATGACAGGACATGGAAGATGGAGGGGCTACGTGAGTTAGAGGTCAGTCTCATGATGTCACGTGTCTGTGTGCCACCGCGTGGTGCAAATGGACCACGCAGGAGAGGGAGAGAAGCCGAGAAGCCATTAACCAACAATTGAGAATTAATTTTCTGTGCAAAGGGGATAGACTTGAGTATACTGACTTTGCCCATATTGCTATTGGTTGTCTATAGAAAGGGATACGTTTCAATGAGCTCTTCTCTGATGATAATATGTATTGTCTAGCTGTCTGGAAAAGCATATGCAGTGCCCATCTGCCTGGAAAATAGATTTTGGAAAGTAGGTAGCAGGCCTGTGGATAGGCTGGAAGCTGAGCCTCTGAATCACAGGCTCACCCTGGTGGGAAACAGCTCCCGGACCGATGGTTTGCATCCAGGGCTGCACGATGTTGCGGCCTGCGGAGCTTTAGGAATTACTGAGGTCCGGGTCTCAGGGTCACAGACTGTGATTCAGTTAGTCAGGGGTGCAGCCTGGACCAAGGGATTTTTCAAAGCTCCCTAGAAGCCTCTGACATGCAGCCGGGATGCAGAACTACACCTCTACACCTTGGCTACCTAAAGTTTGCTCCTAGACCCGCAGCAGCCCTGGGGGCTGGTTAGAAATGCCATGTGTCTCAGGCCCACCACAGGCCTCCTGGAGCACAATCCCCATGCAGACAACCTCCCCAGGTGCCTCCCATGCACCTGCAGTCTGAGAGGCACTGACCACAGCTGCATATCAGAATCACCGCGGAAACTTACCAAAGTCACAGATTCCTGTTTCTACAGATTATGGCCCAGGAGGCCTCACATGGGGCCTTCCCCTTACATTGATTTTTTTTTTTTTTTAACTTTTGGCGAGTCTAACATGCAATTGGAGTTGGAAAACCTCTGCAGATAAAGTTGACAGAGGGCCCAGACTGAAGGGATTTGGGTGAAGTTTTTCTCGTGCAGCAAGTGGGCTGGGGGGGGGGCGGATGGTCCCCTTCTCACGTAAAGGGAGTTCCACAGTGAGAAAGGAGGACATTAGGCAACTCAGACTAGAGAGCTGCACAGCCCCTTGTAGTAGCAGAGGGAACAGATGGAGACAATGAATGAGCCCAGAGGTGAGGTCATCTTGTGCTGTAAAATGACTCACCACTTTGCTGTGGTCCTCCAAAAAAGGAAAGTCAAGGGGCAAAGTGCTTAAATCTCCTCGTGTTCTTCTCTCTCTCTCTCTCTCTGTGTGTGTGTGTGTAGTGCAATAGGGCATTAGTGCATGTGCTTGGGCATGTTTCCATTCCTTTTTTGTTGTTGTTGTTATATATGGGGTCTCACTCTGTTGTCCAGGCTAGTGTGCAGTGGCATCATCATAGCTCACTGCAGCCTGGGCTCAGGCCACCCTCCCGTCTCAGCCTCTCAAAGTGCTGTGACTACAGGTATGAGCCACTGTGCCCAGCTCCCTTCCATTCCTTCAAGAAAGGCTCACCAGTTCAGGAGTCCCCACGACTCACATTAACCGTCTGCACCACCTGGCCTACTGTCTGTAGCTGGTAGAGAGTTTCAGGCCCTACACACAGAAGGCAAAGGGGAGGCCAGCCAAGCACAAAGAATAGCCATGTGAGTCAGCCACGGGCAGCAGGCATTTTCTTTCGTTTTCCTCTGTTCAGAGGGAGCTGGGGCCACTGGGTGCCAGGCCCAGCAGGTGTTAGGGTACAAGCCTTTTGCCACCCTCGCTCCAGTCTGGCTGGACAGGGACTCCGGTTCTAGGTGCCGATGCCATTCCATGGCCAGTTTGAATGTTGCAAATACATTCTCCAGGGCCTAGCATGGGGTCAAATGCATAGAGTGAATGAATGAATGAATAAATAAACATATTTTATTTTTCTTGCAATTATTCTTTTCATTCAAAAGAGCAAAGTCTCAGAATCACCTGCCCCAGGAGTCTGGCTTTGATCTCCCTAAAAGCCACTTGATATTTTTGTTTTTCTTTAAACCAAAACCTATTTCCTTCCTAGCCCGTGAGAGGTAACTCAGCCCTCACATGATGGGGTAAGAAAGCACAGGTGAGAATGTCATGTGCCTGGGGTGTGGCCTCAGGGCACTGGCATGTCCCCAGCCCTCCATGCCACGGGGCTTCCCGGCAACTGTGCTCCTGAGTGGCCCCAGGGGGACCTGCCAGATCTGCAGGAGGACTCTGCGGATGCCACCCAGCCCGCCCTTCTCTCTGCCTCCAATTCCCAAGGGAGGGAGCAGATTGAGAACATATTTAGAAAATGTGTTCATTGTTGCTTTTAAAAATCTCCTCTGTAATTAGGTACCACGGGGGCAGTCAACCACGAAAAGCTACAACCAGTGCTGTCAAGTTCCACAAAACAAAAGGGAAACCGATTAATCAAAACGAAGAAGAAGAAGAGGCTGGCAGAACCTCAGCACCGGTCTCAGCCACACCGTGGCTACACCCACCCAGATGCCACCCCTGGCTATCAGGCAACCCCCCCCCCCGCCTGGCTGCTGCCAGAGCCTGTGTTAATGTGGGGTCACTAAGTCTTTGGCCTCTCTCCCAAGAATCCATCTCCTCAATAACAGGGCCAGCAATTTTGTTGTGCTCCCCTAGTAAAAATTCCAGAATGGTCCCCTGAAACTGACAACTGGGAAATAAAATAAGTCAATAAAGTAAGCAATCGGATTTCCAGCACTTTTTGCAGTGTAGTGGCTACTACATAATATCTACATCCATGAGAGGAGATGAGGGTACTACGTCCTGCTAAGACTCCATCCTGTTCCCTGATGGCTCGTAAACTTCCTCCTATCGAATCCCAGTCTTGGGAACAATCACTCCCTAGCAAATCGAGTGGACATAGTGATCCGCATGCATTGGAGAGGGTTTAAAGTGAATGTGAAGTTCAAGTGGGGTGCTTTATGAAGCCTTAGAGGTATCTCTTGTTCCATTAGCATAACCACCAAGAAGTGGGGTCTTTCAGGGGTTTTTACTTTCTGGGATCCCAAGCCACATGGAGATGAATTTTCTTTTGACCTTCCTTCTCCATAAGGGAGGTGCTTCAGGGTACCAAGGTCAATGGGTAGGAGGCCATGAGGTGGCCGTTCCAGAAGCTTTCAGGAAGAGCACCAAGATTCTTTCCAGTGTGCAATTTCCAGCACTCCCGCCATTTGTCCGACCTTGGCCCAGAGGGAGAACCTGCACCTTCTGGTGTGTTCTGGTCAACGCACTGCTTGTCCCTTGCAGAAGCCTGCTTGGGCACCTCACAGTGGTAGCCTTCAGTGTCCACCCAGAAGTGATATATCCCATAATATTCACTAATCGACCTGGCTCTCCTTCCATCGCAGTGCACAGAAGAATGTGTTTCCTTGCTCTCCTGAAGTTTGACGGGTCTGTGTGGCTTGCTCTGGCCAATGACTGAGGAGTGGAAGTCACAGGTGTCACACCAAAGCGGAAACATTTCAGAGCCATTTTCCATGCTCCCTGTCTCCTGCCACATGAGCTGCGAAGGTCAGTATTTTAATTGGATAAGGGGACTCACAGCAAAGAGCCTAGGGGGTATTCCTGCAAACCGCTAAGTAGAAAAGAGGTATGGGGCTAGAAAACAAAAGAAACCAGAGTTCTGGGAACTACATCTCAAGAAGAACTGTGTATGTTTACTAGCGTGGGGAATTGGCCAGAACCAAATAGATAAGAAACCCCACAGTTTAACAGGGTTGAACTGACAAAGGAACAGGAAACCTGACACTGTTCAGGACTTTAAACACTCCCTGGGCCTCTGACTTTGGACAGTCTGTGGGCTGAGGAAGCTGTGTAGTTCCTAAGGAGGACACATCCCCCAACACCCATTTCAGAAATGCCCAAGGAGGATGATGAGAAATGAGGGACCTCCCAGAGGGTTAAGCCGGGAGCCATGGTAAACAGCGGCCAAGGAAGCCAGAGAGCACAACTGCAGCCTAATCAAGGAACGCTCCTTAGCCCAGGTTAGGAGCCCCTCCCAATGTCCGCTCAAAGAGATTTCAAAATTGCTAAGAACCAGTGCCTGCTGGGTCCCTCCCCTTCCTTCCACTTATGAACGGGGGTGCTGGTTGTGGTTTCCTGGTCCCTATTCTACCACAATGGGTAAGTGTGGAAGAATGTATGTCATTTTAGTTTGTAGATTTATAGTTTATAGACCTGCAGAGGGATGAAGAAGAGCCTGCTGTAGACTTGATATAGAGACTACTGTATCACTCAGTGATCCTGGACCCTGAATTCGATGCCAACAATGTTTGGGCATTTGAGACTGCCTCCCTTGGAGGAGGAGTGAGTGTATTCTGGGTACAGGAAAGAAAGTAAACTGAATGTTTGATTCCCAAGTTGTGGTAAATATTACTAGAGTTCACGGTCATATCCTGTTTTCCTTTCCTTCTGGAGGAGTGGAAAGATCATACTTCTTGTGAAGATTACATTTTGTCCCCTCCTTCATGTGAGGCATGGCCAAGAGACTTGCCTCAGCCACTGACATACAAGCGGACGTGCTGTGTTGTTTGGGGGGGGGGCAGCATTCGGGGGCCATGCCTAGCTCTCTTCTCCCTCTATTGTGTCAACCAAGGAGGTTGCATGTTCTGGTGCAGCTACAGGACGGTGGAATCTCTGTTAGTCTAAATTTCTGAGGCACCTGGAGGACATTTGTTGTAAAGGATTGTCCAAACCTACTGTCAAATTGGGATGAGAAAAAATAATAATAATAATAAACCTTTATTGGCATCCAGGCACCAAAATTTTTTATTGCCATCATCCCAGCATACCCTACTATTTTGATGACTATAGAACCCCATTATATAGAATTAAGTCTGAGATGATTTATTCGGAATTCTCCCCCGAGAGTTCCAAAAATTCCTTATGAAGTTAGAGTTAAACATTTAAGTGTCTGGGACAAGACCAAGTATCAATGTATAGGAACGCCCACTGGAAACACATGACATAAATGCACAAATAATTCAACAACATGATAAGAAAACAACTAGTTTATACCCCAGGCAATAAGTGCTCCAGGACTCAGGTACGGGGAAAACTCTTGGAGAGTGAAGAGTATGGAAAAAAGCAAGACTTGAAGAGAGCCGGAAAGCATGAGTAAGATTTACAGTAAGTGAAAATGTGAGAAACCAAACATTTCAGGCTTCATGGCTGCAGAAAAAATATTGTGCCTTCAGTGAAAGGTTAAGAAACCAGGCAGGCTAACCATAGTAGGTTTGGACTAAGGAGAAGGACAGTCAAAATGACTGGGAATGGGGTGGGACTTGAAGTAAACGGTAGAAATATAGGAAATGAGAGCCACTCCAGGACTTTGAACAGGAGCACGATTTGCTGGAAGTAATATTGAAGTAAGATTAATTTGGCAGTGGACGTGAGAAGGGGCAGAGAAGAGGGAGTGGAAGCAGGGATTCCAGCTAGGAAACTGTTAAATGGAATTGGAAATGTGTTGACCGAAGCTTGTATTGGGGGAGTGGACAGATGTGAAGAGCCAAAGGATGTATTGAAGGGTTATCAACAGAACAAAGATGAAAGGCAAGGAGTGTGTAGCAGAAGAATCAAGCAAAAGTGATGCTCATGCTTCTAGTTTGGGAAACTACAGAGAAACAATGTCAATGCATTTTCATAAAAAAAAAGAAGTCGGTTTTGGAAGGAAGATGCAGATTCACCTTAGGAGATGCTGAGTTTGAGGGCTGGCAGAAAATGCAGGTAGATCTCTTCCTTCCCCACTCCCAGTGCCACCTCTCTGCTACAGGATTTTATTAGCAGAGTTCAGCAAAAAGGTCAGGGCTGAGGGAGACGAACAAAAGTCACGCATGTAAGTACATTCTCTAAGGAAACGTTTTAAGAGAGAGAATAATAGAGGTTTAACACGTTGCTTGGGAAATGTGCATATATATGGAGCGTAGAAGGAAACTCTACACAGAAAAAACGATGAAGAAAGCACAGTAAAAAGGAAACTGTAATCTAACATCATGAGTGATGGCTTTCAAGTACGTGGGAAGAACAAAGTATCAAATTCTGGAGAAAAAAAAAAAACAAACCCAACGAGAATGAAGACTAAGAAAAAGTCCTTAGATATGGAGATTTAATTTTTTATCAGGGACCTTTGACAGTGGGATGTAATTGACCTAGTCCTTTGCCTGAACAGTTGCAATATCTTCTGCTAAAATGTTTCACCTTCTGCATGGCCCAGCCTTTCCATAAAAGTTGTTCTGATCTCTGTCCTCCTGCATCTGCCACTCTAGGAAAATGGTGACTGGGATGGTCATATAACTTCACACTTGAAGTGTATCCACTGAGTCCTACATCCAATTAGAGGGATTAATTGCTGGTTACGGTTTTCCATGCTCAGTGGCAAATTCAGGAAATAATTCCTGCATTACACAGAAGACCAGGCACTGTAGCACATTGAGGAAGATTTTGCTGCACATGTGTAGTTAGATACAAAGTTAAATAACTGCACATAGAGTTAGATAACTCCATCACAGGCCTGCATCCATTTCCCACACTCCATCCTATGTATGATACAACCAAAACATTATAACCATACAGCCCTGGCCTTAATTCTCTCTGCTATTTCTAGCTGTCTGATCAACATAGTTGGAAAATAGAAACTTCCCAGAGTTTAAGTTGCTTTTAATAAAAAAATGAAGAAGAAGAAGAAAAAAAAATCCTAGCAAATTCCAGCAAGTTATTTTTCCATTCCTGCTACAAATCTTGTGGTGAACAGAACAGCCTGGAAAAAACAAATACATGCAAGAGAGAGGAAGGGAAATCACAGCAGGTCTAAGAATGAGAAAGCGTCTGGGTAGGTCAGAGTACTGACTACACGCAGTTCAAAGTAACAGTCTTTAGATGAGAAGGAAGGGAAAGGGAAAGGAGAGGGCACTTTGGGGTCTGTTCAGTAAAGGGGGGGAAAGAAGCACAGGGGTGGTGAGAAGTGGGGTCCTGCAAGGCAAAGAGAACAAAAAAATCAGAGGGCACATTGCTACAACTTCTCCATCATCATCTTCATCATCAATCATTACCATCATCATCATCACATCTATTAATGAAATTATACTTTCCGTATAGATAGAGAAGACTACCATTAAAATATGAATATTAGACACTGCTGTAAATTTAAAAATGGACAAAAGAATAATATATACAAATCTACTATTAAATTATAAAATGAGAATCCAAACGTGCCTACTGATGATGATTTTCTCCCAACCCTATGCAAAAATAACCATGAAGCAAAGAAAACCTAACAAAACACTTAGAAAGGAATTAAGTAGCCTTAAGGACATATTTGTAGTTATTTAAAAAAAAAAAACTTGAAACAGAAATTAAAAAATTTTTAAAAATGGCAGAAAAAAAGGACATAGAAATCTAAAGAGAATCCATTGAACTTCAGAGAGATAGGAAAAGAAAAAGACAAAATGAAGACTAAAGGATAAGATGCCTAAGAGAACTTTAATTTCCCTTACGTGTGACACTAAGGTACATATCAAAAGAGCCCAACAGGTACCTGGAAAATTGCTCAGAATCATCAACTCTGATGTCCTAGTAAAACTAACAGACTTCAAAGATAAAGAAAAAATTCTCAAGGCTTTTAAATGGCAAAGATCAGAAGAATTGAACTGTCATCAGACTTCTCAAAAAAAAAACAAAACATACAAAGCAACAATGGCACAGCATTTTAAAAAAACTCTAGGAAAGAAAGTGCCAACCTAGGATTTTATAACTAGGCAAACTTTCCTTCCAGTGTCAAGTCTACAAAACAACTGCTTCAGTATACAAAAACTTAGGGAGTTATGCATCCATGAGTCCTTCTTGAGCAATCTATTAGAAGATGAACTTCATGCAACCAAGAGATGACTGGGCAAACTTCAAAGGAAAAACAAAGACAGTGAACACACAACACCCACCCCCCCTACACACACAAACACCCATCTCAAAGATAAAATATGGGTGGATAAGACAGTACACAACTAGTGTACAGATGCTATATGTGACAAAGTAGAAACAAATGCAACTAAAAAAAGGAAGGAGAAAGGAGGCAGAAATAATAATAGTAGAATAACCATATTGATTGTTATGTAGACAAAAAGTATAAGTTAAGGAATATCAAGAAGTCATAAATCAGATGAAAAAGGTTAAATATAAGCACTTATAAATAAGTAGTATTTAAAAAGTAAGTAGTTACTTAGTTTTTAAAGTCGTAAGTAGTAAGAAGTACTACTAGAAAAAACATTAAAATCTACCCAAATACTAAAATTTAAAAAGATATCTAGCAAAAAATACTCATCCTATAAGAAAAAGTTATTCATAAGCTACCCCCAAAAGCACTAGGCCCTGATGGTTTCATAGAAGAATTATTTCCAACCTTCAAAGACCAGATAGTTCCAATGTTGTACATTATTGTTCCAGAGTGCTGAAAATGAAGGAAAATTCCTAACTCTTTTAATAAAGCAAGCATAACAGTGATACTAAACATGATTAAGATAGTATAAGGAACAAAAAATCTATAGACCAGTATGATTCATGAATATTGATACAAAAATGATAAATGAAATATTAGCAAACAGTATCCAATATCATACTCAAAAAGTAATAAAACATGACCAAGTGGGATTTATTCTAGGAATGCATGATTGAGTCAATATTAGGAAAATCATTAATAGTATACACTCTTATTAATATATGTAAGGGAAAAATCCTCTGATGCCAAAAAATCTCTATGGATGCCAAAAAAGCTTTTGACAAAATTCAATACCCATTACTGATTAATTTAAAAAAATCAAGAAAATAGGAATTGAGTGATACTTTCTCAATGTGAATTAATCTCTCTCTCTCTCTCTCTCTCTCTCTCTCTCTCTCTCTCTCTCTCTTTCTCTCTCTCTTCTCTATCTATCTACCTTGGTCCTAACGACAGTATCTTAATGGGTATGCTCTATAGGCATTTCCTCTAACATAAGAAACAGAAGGGAAAGATGCTTTGTACCTCCACTACTATTCAATATTGTATCAGTACTAGTGATATTCAGCCAATGCAATCAGACAAGAGAAATCAATTAGAAGCATATGGGTAAAGAAGTAAAACTGCCTCTATTTGCATGAGACATGACAGTGTACCTAGAATGTCAATGATGAAAATAACTCAAACAATAAAAGAAAACATGAAGGTAGTAGGATATAAAATTAACACCCAGAAATAAATAAGCTTCATATACACAAGCGCGAACAGTTAGAGGGCATAATGGTAGAGAAACCCCATTTACAAATAGCAACAGCAGAGATTGACTACTTAGAAATAAACCTAACAACATGTGATCCTGGACCAAGAAAAACATTTTTCTTTTTATATTAGTGGTACATTTGAATAAAAGCTGTTGATTAGATATTGGTATTGTATATTAGATATTGGTATTGTTAATATTTTTCTGATTTTGATAACCATATTGTGGCTATATAAGAGAAATGCCTTGAGTTTAGGAAATGCACACTTAAGTATTTAGAAGTAAAGGACCATCATATTTGCAACTTACTTTCAAATATTTCAGGAAAATAATTATAAATAAATATACATGTTTAGGAAAAATACACATTTAACATGTATATATTTCTGTATATGTATATTATATACAGAAACACACACACACACACATATATATGACAAAGACAGAGAAAGAGAGGCAAAGAGAGACAATGATAAAATATATGTGATAAAATGTTGAAATTTGGAAAATTTGAAGGGTGTACAAGAATCATTTGCACCTTTTCTAACTTTTATATAAGTCTGAAGTTCTTTCTAAATAAAACAATGTAAACATTAAAAAATCAGTAAAAAGAAAGTAAGTTGTGGGCCAAACACTGGCTGTATAAATGATGGTATGATAGGATGAACCATAAAGCAGCCATTTCCTGGAGGTGGGGTGGGGATTGAGCTAGAGCTGTCTGTGCAGCCATCAAATGATCTCTAAGCAATATTAAGTTTTAAAAAGCAATATGAAGAACTTTGTGTTCAAAAGTGAATGTAATTGGAGTTGTAAAGGGTACATACATAAAGGGTTCAGAGATGACTCAAATAAAAAGGTATCAATTCTCACAGAGCTGTAAGGGGGTAGAAACAGATCTGGAGATGACTACAGACAGGACAATGGAATCTGCCTGTGCCACCCTTGCCCCTGTGTTTCGACACAGATGCACAAGTCCCAGAGCATTAGGAATGGAAGGCATCTTTTAGGAAACTTACAGATAAGGAGGTACAGACACTAAGAGATGAAGCAATTTTTCTAAGACCACATTCCCCTGCAATGAGTTTTCAGGTCTCTTGACTCCCAGTTTAGAGTTGTTTTGATTCTTCCATCCATCCACCTGTCCATCCATCCATCCATCCATCCATCCATCCATCCATCTGCTCATTCATTCATAAATATCCACTGAGCATCAACTATGTGCCAGGCACTGTGCTAGCTACAGGTAATAAAGTGGTGAGCATCCCCAGATATGGTCCCTGCTCACATAGTTAGTGGCAAAGACAGACATTAAGGAACATGTCATACAAGCTAAAAATATTTTTGAAGAGTATGATAAAGGAAATACTAAGGGTGCAATATGAAAATATAATGGAAGATCTGATTTCCATTTGAAGGCCAAGGAAGACATATTTGAGAAAGGAAAATTCAAGCAGAGACCTGAACAATGAGTACATTGGACTGATATGGACCAAAGGAGAATAACATGCCAGATGAAAGGAACAGCCTGTGCAAAGCCCCTAAGGAGGAAGAGCCCAAAGGAAGCCAGTTGGGCTGGAGTGCAGGGAGCAAGAAGGACAGCAAGAGGCCGTAGCGGTAAGCAGGGGCTACATGGTGCAGAGCCTTGTCTGCTCTGTTTGCTTTGATCTCGAGTCATGTCCCAAAGAATGGAAGGAAGGAAGGAGGGTTTGTGCACAATGCCATTTCAAAGTGTTGAACTCAGTATTTTTATGATGGTAAGCACTGTTCCAAAGAGTTAGGGTTAGTGTCAAGACACTGACTCCAATGGGGAGCCTTTGAGGTTTTATAAAATGGGTAATCACAATAGATCTGAGCTTTAGGTTAGGAAGGTAAATCAGAATAAGTCAGGTTAAATCAGGTTAGAATGAGTTAGATCATTCTGGCTGCTCACTAGAGGACAGGATGCGGGGGTGGGCAAAAGTGGAACTCCACGTAGGAGGCCTTTGCAAGTTGCCTGGATGGGATACAAGGGAGGCACAGACTGGAATGCTGGTTAGGAAGGGAGCAAACAGTGTGTGATTTCAAGAGCATGGGATGGAACAGTAATGGACTTGGATATGGGGGAGACAGAGATGGGGACAGTGAGGGGGACAGAGATGTCAAGGATAGTATGCAGTGTGTAGGGTTCTGCTCGAGCAACTGAGTGGCTAGTTGTTCTAGTTACCAAGCTGGGGAACCCTAGGAGGAGAGCAGATTGAGGGAAAAGGGCCAGTAAAGTACCTGATGCCTGTGCAATCATACAGAACTATCTATTAGTACAGTGGTATCTTCTTAAGTGAAATACCCTTAAGACTAGAAATGTCTCCTGTCTAAAGAAAAGGCTAACATGACAGAATTTGGGCAGAACAACAGGCACTGGCACCACCACCCTTGCCTGATGCTGCCAAAGGCCCTGGCTCCTTTATCTCCAGCCATGTGGGCCCTTCTCTGTAGATTCTGGCTTGAGGTTCCATCCCCTCCTTGCCCAGCTGTCCACACGTTTACATAAGCTTCTATCTAATCTGCCACACTCCAATCTGGTGTCTTAGTCCATTTTGTGTTGCTATAACAGAATACCTGAGGCTAGGTAATTTACATAGAAAATAGGCTTATTTGGCTCATGATTCTGGTGACTGGAAAGTCCAAGATTGGGCAGCTGCACCTGGTGAGGGCTTCCTGCCATTGCCACTCATGGCAGAAAACGAAGTGTGCAGAGACCACATGGTGAAAGAGGAGGAAAGAGAGTATCAAGGAAGCTGAACTAACTTTTATAATAACCTGCTTTCAGGTGACTAATCCAGAGCTGTGAGAGCAGGAACTCACCCCCATGGAAGAGCATTCATTATTCACGAGGGATCCTCCCCACGACCTAAACACTTCCCAGTAGGCTGCACCTCCCAACACTGCCACACTGGATGAACCACCTCCAAACCACACCATAGCTGGTGTCTGTGCCATGGCCCTATCTATTTCAGTTTATGGATTCAGGGTCCAGGTATCTGCATTCAATTTCTCTCAGTAAAAACCAGAAAATCATTACACTCCCCCACAGTTAGTCCCCCAGGGCAAAAGCAAAATGATTTACTGGGAAGTGGATGAAGAGGACAAGAATCTGACGCCCACTCAAGGAATAAATACTTTAGAAGCCCTGGCTCCTCTGAACCCAAGCTACATATTTATGAATTGCTGTACTTCCAGCTACTCGGGAGGCTGAGGCAGGAGGATGGCTTGAACTCAGTAGTTTGAGGTTGCTGTGAGCTAGGCTGATGCCATGGCACTCACTCTAGCCTGGGCAACAAAGTGAGACTCCGTATCAAAAAAAAAAAAAAAAGACAGGTGTTTCCATGTCCACCCCTTTGTTCAGGAGGCTCCCCCTTCAGAAATGCCTGCCTTTGCCCAACTCTTGACTTGTCACATTCTTCTTGCAATGCAAGGACCATCTCCACCCGTTTTCCATGGGAGGCCATTTAGGACCCAAACACCCCCATTCAGAGGCACCATTTTCCTCCTTTAGCCCCTTCACTGTTCTTGGGATCTTCATGGCACTTCCCATTTATGGGACAGGAATTATACTGCCTGGCTTCTCACACACACACTACCTAACTCATCTTTGCCCAAATGAGACTCAAGTTTCACTGACATGAGCACATGTACATAGCTCTGTTCCCACTTTTTGGTTCCCCATCTAGGGCAGGTCACTGGAGTCCTAAGAGGTCTCTCAGCTAAGCATTCCTCTTCAAATCATCTTCCTCCTCCACTATGGACAACCTGGCTTCTAACATGCAGGGTGTGGAAAGAGGCTTCATGGCAAATGCATCTCAGAAGCGGAAGTGATCTTGAAGACCAGCGAGCAGACTTCAACTGGAATTTTTTAAAAAATTCTTTTATATCTGTGACTCTCAAATTTTAATGTGTCTATAAATTACCTGGAGAACTTGTCAAAATGCTGATTTCTGACTGAGTAGGTTTGGGGCGGGGCCTGAGTCTGCATTTCTAACTAGCTGCCAGGAGCTGCCCAAGCTGCTGGCCCTGGTGCCAGCCCTTTAAGAAGTAAAGTTCTGCAGCTGCCTCCAGCTCAAACATTGTACTTGAGTGCTCAGTGCTCCAATGCACGTGTTTCCCCTGCAACCTCCGTGATGGCCCTAAGAGGTAGGTGGAACTATTATTATTAACTTACTTTGTAGATGACTGTCATAGAGGTCAAGGTCACACAGCTTGCAAGGGCTGGAGCCAGGGGTGGAGCGTGTCTGACTCCACTGACTCTTTCCTCTAGTTTTCTTCTTCCTCGGTCATCTACCGAGGCAAGTTTACATCTCTAATTGGGGAGGAGTAAGACTGAGGCCAAGGCCATGGTTCCAGGCAGGAGGGTCTGGGATTTCTTTATTCCACCCTGTTAATAGTCTGCATAGAAGCAGAGTCAAGGAGTAACACAGGTATGTCCCAGATAGTGAGGCCCTGAGAACACCAGGCTTTTGCTCCACTTCTAGGCCAGCATGAAATCCTGGCATTTGTTGACTGTGAGGCTGTCCTTCCCTGGCCACAGACACCAACTGGCAGAGACAAGCCACAACTACCACCTTCCCTAGCTGTCAGGTCTGTGAGACTCTTGGCAAGGAACAGCAGAGAACGAGGCAAGCCAATGCCAGGGACTGGCTCCTGGGAAGGGGAGGTTCCCAACATGGGTGACCAGTCAGTGCCAAGACCGGTGCCAGGAAAAGAGATGGTACTGGCCCCAAATCTGCCCCTGGGGCCAACTTGAGCCAAGGGTCATGGCAAGAGAAAGCTCACATCTGGCACCAGCAAGACACTGGAAAACACAAGAGCTGCAGCCCAGAGCTGCTGGACCTCTGGCCAGGCAAGCCAGTCTCCGCGAGAACGGGCTTGATCCTGCTCCTGCTCCTGAAGAAATGTTAAAGAAAGTTCCGAGATCCAGGGTGTGACATCTCCATGAGCCTCCCCTCCTGCCCGACAGAAAGAGTCAGGTTGGCAGAAGCTGAAGAATGAAGGATGCATTTATGATCCTGAGGGTCCAAAAAGTCTTCGTGCTCCCGTTTAGGGGGCCAGGGAGAACACACACGTACCCTGCAGGTAGCAGCTGGAACCTCCCAAAGCAGGCACCTTGCAGTGCCTCTTCACGCCGCTGTCCTCCTTACACCCCCCGCAGACTGCTTGGCCTGGCGTCTATGGGGCCAGTGTGGCAGCCCCACACACAAGCCCTAAACCGGGACACGGGTGGTGGCCCGGGACTCAGCCTGGCAGATAGGAATCTTTCTCTCTGACACCATTTGCCAGGGTAGTGTGAGTTGGGTGACAGCTTAGGTGCCACATAAAGACACCTGTCCACGTGCTATTTCAACCCGAGCACTCTCTTGGAATGGGGTGAGCCAAAGTGGGACAGTGCCTGTTCCCTGGGTCGGCTTGTAGGCTGACCGCCTCAGCGAGACGCAGTTCTCTCAAGTGAGTCTCCGGACGAGCTGGGCATGCTACCTCAGCCGTGGGCTCTGTGGGTGCCTTGGGAGGTGGCCCAGGACCTACACTCCTCACATCGACCTGCCTGGCTTCACTGCTGCTCAACCCAATCTAGGGGGAGACAGTGTCCCCTGCCAGACAGGGGACAGCCATGGTGTCCCTTCGGCTTTCCGAACGGTCCTGGGTATTCTCGGTACCCACTTGGGAAAGGGAGCTTTGTAGAATAGCTGCCTTCAAGAAACGCTCAAGGGTCTTGCACTGGGTTTGTTTTGCCTTTTTCAAATTTTGTTTGAACAGCAGAAATGCACGCACTGGGTGAGAGTGGAGGTCGCCATTCACGCAGACCCATCCTTGCTCTTGGTGCAGTACGTGTTACCAATCAGTCACCGTGCGAGGCTGACCCAATTCTAACAAAATGTGGAATCACACGGATGCTCCGTGCTCTCCTAAGGGTATGGCTTAGGGACAGCCTGTGTGTGCCGGCCAGGGTGACATGAAACACCACTGAATGGAGCTGAGCATGCCCGGCCAATGGCAGGTTCTCGGTGCTCAGCCATGAATCAGGGCTGAACAGGCGTGGGGTAAGCAGGAGCTGTCCCAGGTGCAGACCGGAGTGACCAACAGTCGGCTTAGATCCCTGGTGCCCTCAGCCCCACCCTGGGGGCTCCCCCTGCTCTGCTCTCACTCCTCCCGCCCACCCCCGACCAAAGGGGAGGTACCGGAAAGAATGTTCCCGGCTCCTGCCCTGCCCGGCTTCGCAGAGGCCATTCTCAGGCAAGCCTGTGCCTCCTGGCTCGCTGTTGCCATGGAGACTGGACGCCTTCTGAGCTCTGCGCTTTATCTAGAGTCCAGCCTTCCAACACCTTGCTACAGTCCAACCCACTCACTCCCCTGGGTCCCCAGACTGTGCGAATCGCTAACTGGATTCCTCTAGTCAAGTGGCTCAGACGTCTCCTTGCTACAATCCACTGCTGGTCTGAGGGCTCCTGCCCGAACCCTGCTGTGGGGGCAGCAGCCTGCAGGTCTGCGGGGCCTACGCAGCCACATCCAGCCTTTCTTTTCTAGAAGAGAAGATCTAATTGCAAATCAGTACCAGACAAACGGGCTGGTGGGAGAGCTGAGGACAGCCCCCGGGGTTGTCACAGGAGGATCCTCGGGGCTACGGGAAGAGCAGTGGGAAGACCACAGAGAACCCAGCCCCGGGCGGAGGGCAGTGCTGGGTGAGACGTCCACGGTCCACGAGGAGGGTGATGAAGCCGAAGGAAGTCCCTGGCCTCTGCTTCGATCAGCATCTCTGCTCAATGCAGCCAGCCTCTCCCACAGTCTCTGAAATCCTGTGCTTGCGTCTCCTCCATCCCATAGACCCCTCCTGCCCTTGCTCTGCCTTCCTCTCCCGTCAGACCAGCCACCCAGACCCATCGCTGCCCTCCACCTGCACGGCTCTGAGCATTAGGACAGAAGCTAGGCCTGGCTTCGCTCACTTCTCAGAGGGTCAGAGATATAGCAGGTGCTATCTGCCCAGCCTCCAGAAACCCTCCTGCTCAGATCTGTGGGTTTGTGCTGCCAGGGAGTCCTCTACAGCTCCCCTGTGGCTGAGACTCCTAAACTGCCATTAGGGTGGTCACTTTTCCGGAGTGGATCTCATCACCTGCTCAGATGCACTCACCCCTTCCTTCGCATTTCCTTCCCTCCCTTTCTGCCTCAGACCCCACGGAGGGCCTGGCTGGGCAGCAGGACTGGCCATCTCCAGCCCAGGGTCCAGGAGCATCACTGGGGCAGGAGGAAAGATCTGTTCAGGATCTTTCTACATCATCTGGAAAGGTGTTCTCAGGGCAGCAGCTTCTTGCACTCTGACCTTATCTCCACCCCCCAGGAGCAGCCCCAACACCTCTTAGGGCCGGGGCCAGCTCCAGGCAGCAGCACCTAATTCTGCTTCTCTGGGCTCTGCAGATTATCATGGAAGATGCTGTGAAGCTAGACAGGCAGGGCGTTCTCCTGCACCCTCACCTGGGTGACCACCTGTCCCCGCTTGCCCTGGACTGAGGGCTTTCCCAGGACACAGGACTTTCAATGCTAAAAGTGGGACAGTCCCAGGTAACCAGGGATGGTGGGTCACCCTCATTGTCACTCACACTGATGATCCTGCTTGTCACCTCACTGAGCAAGGATCACATACACCCACTGGCCTGCACCTGCAGCCCCATGGCCTACCTGGCCCCCGCCCCACTCCACTCCCCGGGCGGTAGACTCCATCCGCTCTCACCCACCAAGGACGTCCCTTATGAAATATCCCCCTCCCTCACGTAATCCATTTTCCCTTCTTTACAGGGTCATTCCTATCAACATACAAACAGACTGTGATTTCTCCCATCTTAAAAAACAGAACAAAGCAAAACAAAAATACTCTTTTTTGTATCATACTCCCTTCCAGTTGCGGTCCTTATTCTCTATTATCCTTCACATTAAAACTCTAAAAGAGTTGTCTGCACCTGTGGTCTTCATTCCTCGTCTCCCATGCTCTTATTTTAAAATCTTTTACTACTTTTTATTATGGAGCATTTCCAACTTGCACCAGAGGAGAGGAGACAGCAGAATGTACCTGTCCTGCCCCTCACCACCCCCAACTGCTCTTGCCAACTCTCCGGTGACCTCCACGGTACCAGGTCACTCTCAGTGGT